GCTCAATATGGCTTCCAAGGCGCAACGAAAGATCCCGAGACCCCTCCAAGACAGTTCCAAAAAAGGCGGAAACAAGAAAACGGAAATCAGAAAATGCAAACTAGAAAACGGACAACGGAAAACGGAAACCGGAAAACGGAAAACGGAAAACGGAAACCGGAAAGCGAAAAACGGAAACCGGAAAACGGAAAATTGACAACGGAACTTCGTTTTTTTGCCCAAGCCGGGAACCGGAAAACAGAAAGCGGAAAACAGAAACCGGAAAACGGAAAACCGGAAACCGTAAAACGGAAACCGGAAAACGGAATTTGGGTTTCCCCCAAATCGGAAACCGGAAAACGGAAACCGGAAAACGGAAACCGGAAAACGGAAAACTGGAAACCGGAAAACGAAAAACGGAAACCGGAAAATGGAAAACGGAAAACGGAATTTCGTTTTCTGCCCAAACCGGACACCGGAAACCGGAAAACGGAAACCGGAAAACGGAAAACGGATTTTCGTTTTCTGCCCAAACCGGAAAACGGAAAACGGAAACCGGAAACCGGAAAACGGAAAACGGAAAACAGAAACCGGAAACCGCAAAACGCAAAACGGAAAACGGAAACCGGAAAGCGAAAAACGGAAACCGGAAAACGGAAAATTGACAACGGAACTTTGTTTTTTTGCCCAAGCCGGGAACCGGAAAACGGAAAGCGGAAAACAGAAACCGGAAAACGGAAAACCGGAAACCATAAAGCGGAAACCGGAAAACGGAAAACGGAATTTGGGTTTCTCCCCAAACCGGAAAACGGAAACCGGAAACCGGAAACCGGAAAACGGAAACCGGAAAACGGAAACCGGAAACGGAAAATTGGAAACCGGAAAACGAAAAACGGAAACCGGAAAACGGAAAACGGAAAACGGAATTTCGTTTCCTGCCCAAACCGGAAACCGGAAAACGGAAACCGGAAAACGGAAAACGGATTTTCGTTTTCTGCCCAAACCGGAAAACGGAAAACGGAAACCGGAAACCGGAAAACGGAAAACAGAGACCGGAAACCGGAAAACGGAAAACGGAAACCCGAAAAAAGAAAACGGAAAACGCAACTTCGCTTTCTGCCCAGACCGGAAACCGGAAAACGGAAACCATGGAACGGAAACCGGAAAACGGAAAACGGAAAACGGATTTTCGTTTTCTGCTCCAGGGTTCTGTTTTCCGTTTCCGTTCCGGTCCGGCGCGCCTGCTGACCGGAATCATCTGCGGTGGTGTTCTGCCGATCCAGTGCGCGATCCCGGTCAGCCTAGGGTCTGTTGTGCACGCGGGCGTGCACTATGGTGCACGCAGGAGACTGTTTTTGTTCAGGGTCCTGCGATAAACCGGGTTATCGGGCTCGCCCCCCCCCCCCCCCCCTCCCGCCCCAGGATAACAGGTCCGGGGGGGCGCAGGGAGGGGGGGGCGCAGGTTGTGCAGGTCCGGGGGGGCGCAGGGAGTTGGCAGGGAACGCTGTGTTCAACGGCGCGGTGGTGTTCGCCACAGCATGCTGTTGTTTGGATGCACGCTGGCGAAACGTTGGGGCTTGGAGTGGCATGGGGAGACGACGACGACGACAGACGACGATAAATGACGATAGACGACGACGAACGACAATGACGACGACATCGACGACCGACGACGACGGACGTCGTCCATAGACATCTGGACGTGCACGGGAGCAGCGCGTACACAGGCATTGCGTTGTGCAGGCAGCGAGGCGATTTGGTGCGCGCATGTGCTGCTGTTGCAGCAAGACCTGTTGTGTATGCGAGTTTCGTAGTGCACGCAAGCATAGGTGCACGTAGGTGGCGCGGTGCACGCGGGAATCGTGATGCTCCCACGCAATATGGTAAAGACAGGCAGGTTTTGTGGTGCGTACAACTGCTGCTACAGCAAAGTTATCATGCACGCAGACATCCCAAGCATGGTGGTGTACAGGAACACTGTGGTGCAATGTCAGTGCGGTGTGCCACACCTTGTGGTGTACATAGGCGCTGCGGTGACACATCCGCTACTGCGCACACATTCGCTATGGTGTACACCGGCGTTGTGGGCTCAAAAGACGGGACCGGTCCTTGCGCAAGACATCAATGTTCACAAATAGCTTACAGACTGGATTTGATAGGTTCGGATTCACACGATTTTCTGGAGTTCGGTCCTGCTGGGGGCTCTGGAAGTGTACGCAGTTCTGTGGTGTACACGCAGGTTGGTGCACCGGAGCTGTGGTGCACGAATATGGTGCTGAAGCAGCAACCGTGGTGTCATAGGCGTCGTCGTGTTCACAGGCAGTGTATTTGGTGTACACAAGCGCTGCGGTGCACAAGGGCGTTGTGGTGTACACAGGCATTGTAGTGTACCCAGGCACTGTTGTGTAGACAGGCGCTGCGGTGTACACAAGCAGTCGTGGTGTGCAAAGGCGTCGTGGCGCACGCTAGACAGGCGCTATGGTGTAGGGCCAGAAAAATCAATAATCACATATAAGTTACATATTGAACTTGATATGGTTGGGCCCCCGGCGATTTTTCAGATTTGAGCCGGGCGGGACCTTGGAGCTGCACGGAAGCGCTGTGGCGCAAATGTTTGTCATGCGCTGTGGTGCACGCGGCTCCTGTGGTGTGCACAAGCACTGCAGTGTACACAGGCGCTGTGGTGCACACGGGTGTTGTCTACACAGGCATTGTGGTGTACACAGGCACTGTGGTCTAGACAAGCATTGCGGTGTACACAAGCAGCTGTGATGTACGAAAGCGTCGCGGCGCACGCTAGACAGGCGCCGTGGCGTACGCTAGACAGGCGATGTGGTGTCACAAAGACGGTCGGCCAAAAACGGGGGTACCCCAGGCCAGAAAAAACAATAATCACAAATAATTTACATATTGAATTTGATACGATCGGGCCCTCGACGATTTTCCAGAACTTGGCCACGTCGGTATTGCCTTCAGGCGTACACGAATTTTGCGGTGTGCGCAGGCGCTGTGGCGCACAGAGGGTGTTGAAACAGCGGCTGTGGGTGCACGCGGGCGCCGTGGCGTGCGCAGATCGCGCGATGTGCAAAGGCGTCGTGGTGCACGCGGTTGTTTTGGTTTTCACAGTCGCCGTGGCGCTCACAATACAATTTCTGTAGCAGCCTTGGTGCACAAAGGCATTGTACAGAGCCCGTGCTGTGTGCACAGGCGCGGTGGACTTGGGCGGCGACGACGACGACGACGACGACGACGACGACGACGACGACGACGAGCGCGCCTCTGGGGGTGCGCGCCGCGGCTCCAGTCACCGTTGCCCCCCCCCCCCCCCCGGGTGACATGACCCCCCAGAAATTAAAAAATGGTCTCCTTTGGGGGCCCTTTTCGAGGCCCTTTGGGCGCGGGGGGGTGTCAGTTTGGAGGCTCCTTGGGGGCTCGGGGCCTCTTTGGGGGCTCTTTGGAGGTTCTTTGGAGGCCCGTTGGAGGCCCTTTTGGACGCGGGGAGGGTCAGTTTGGAGGCTCTTTGGAGGCTCGGGGCCTCTGCGGCCCGCTGGGGGTGCGCCTCGGGGCCTCCTGGGGGCCTCCCGACAGAATCGTTGGAAGGGGCGCGCCCCTCGCGGCGTCGTCTGCGGGGACTCTCGGGCGGGCTCCTGGGGGCTTGTTGGGCCTCGTGTTAAGTCGGGCACGTCCCTCTGAATATTCAAACATAGTATTTAAAAAAGTCGGGGGGCGATTTGTCTACAATTCTACATCTGTTTGACAACTCTGTTCCATTTCCCCTACTTTTCCATCGTTGGGGCCCAGATCCGCCTGGAGGAGGACATGCCCGACCTGAGCTTATTGGGCCTCGGGCGGGTTGTAATGGGGGGGGTGACCTGCACGCATGGGGGGGTGAAGAACAGGACCCTAAAGGGCCCCTTTTCTCCACCCTCCTGTATAGGTCGCCCCCCATTGCCACCCGCCCGAGGGCCGTCTTGGACGCTCTTGCGACCCACGCGTGGCGAGAGCGCTGGAGCCTGGCTCTCGCCGACGTTGCCCTCAGGCTGAGCCCCCGAGACCTCCAAGACGGGCCTGGAGATCCCCAAGATCGCCGAACCTGGGCAGCAGCCAGGCTCGGCCAGGCACAGCTCGGCCAGGCCGAACTCGGGCAGCTGCACTCGGCCCGCTGACCTCGGCCAGTCTGACCCGGCCTGGGCCGATCTTCGCCTGGCCGAGTCCGCCCCGGCCGAATTCAGCCTGGCCGAGGTTTCTCCCAAGCCACCTGGCCGAGGGTGGGGTGGCCACGGCAGGGCTTCGGCCCCGCGACGGGTCCGCCGATGACCCGGGTCATCGGTTTCCGCCCCGACCCCCCCTCCCCACGATCACCGAAGCTTGCCGGCTGCGCAAGTCCGAAGGGGTACGCAGTGCTGGTGCCCGCGGGCGCACGCGGGGCTGCCCAGAGCGAAAAGATTCCGTCATCGGCCGGCACCTCTTCACATCCTGAGATAAGTTGTCCGCGGCGAGCCAGGGGGGAAGTGAGAAGGAGAAGGCCTTCCCAGAGGGCTCGGGAGTCCCCTCGCTTCCCGAGAAAGTTTCCTGAGCCTTCTCCGAAGACGCAGGAAACCCCTCACGGAGAGGGCCTTTTCCTTCTTACTTCCCCCCCTCGCTCGCCGACGAGGCGCACGCGGCGTTCCTCTCGGCCGCGGCCCGCGGCCCTCCTGCTCCTCCTCCTCCTCCTCCTCCTCCTCCTCCTCCTCCTCCCCCTCCTCCTCCCCCTAGTCCTCCCCCTCCCCCACCTCCTCCTCCTCCTCCTCCTCCTCATCCTCCTCCTCGCTCCTCCTCCTCATCCTCCTCCTCCTCCTCCTCCTCCTCCTCCTCCTCCTCCTCCTCCTCCTCCTCCTCCTCCTCCTTCCTCGTCGGCGGGCGAGGGCCACTGCCGAAATGTGCGAAGAACATCTCCGTGCCCTTTGGCCACGGGGTGGCCCCGAGAGGGCCGTGACGGGCTCCCGGCGCCCGACGCCCCCCCGCCCGGCTCCGCCGCGGAGGCCGCGCCGCGAGGCGGCACCCGGCGGCGCCGCGGAGCCAACCCGCGGAGCCCGCGCCGGCCGCCGTCGCGGGGGGCTCCTCCACCTGGGTCCTCTTCGTCGCTCCTGCACCTCGCTCCTCCTCCTCCTCTTCCTCCTCCTGCTGCTCTTCCTCCTCCTCCTTCTCCTCTTCCTCCGCCTCCATGTGTAGCCATTTTGGCTCAAGATGAGCGCGGATCTCCTGGAGGTGGAGGCGGTGGCAACGGCGTGGGCTCAGGGCAGCCAGCTCAGCCGAATTACGTCACGCTCACTGAGGAGGTGCGCAGCAAGTACCTGGAGCTCAGCGACGCAGACTTCGAAGTGTTCGCTCCCTTGTGCATCCCTCCTGCCGACCAGCACTCACTGCGGCAGGGCAGGTTTCTGTTGCAGCAGCAGCGCGGGTCGCTCTCTCCCAACACGGCCATCAAAAGCGCGCAGGTGCTGGCCGACAGGGCGGGCAAGAAGCTCTCGAGGGCAAGGGAGGAGGGCGAGCGCAAGGATCAAGCAGCAGCTGATGCAGTCTGCGCCGCGATCAAGCAGCAGAAGTACATCCAGGAGTTCGAGGTCGAGGTTAAGCAGGCTGTCGCCAAAGCCATGGAGGCCAAGGAGCGCGAGGAACTCGCCAACCAGCAGAAGGCCGACGAACACGCTATGGAAGCCGAGCCCGAAGCCCAAGAAGGCGCTGTTGCAGCAGCCTTGGCAATCTGGCACGGCGACATTGCGCAGGTTGGGATCGACCAGCTGGACGGCGTCGATCTGGGGAAGGCAGCAGGGCCTCTCCAAAATCTTCTTCCGTCTCTGGCAGCGGACAAGGCTACCCCGCCCAAGGCAGCCAAGCCCGCGCCCTCAGCCGCCCCAGTTCCTGTGGCAGCAGGAGGCAAAGGCGGCGAGGACAGCGGCAAGGGCAAGGGCGGCATCGGCTACAACCCCTGCGACGGCGTGGAGCGGGAAGACATCATGCAGTTCCAGTTCATCACGGACGCGCTGGATGCTGCTCTGGCCGAGTAGAACTACGGCGACGGCAAGGAGCGCGAGATGCTCGAGCTCTTCGCCGCCAAGCTGGGCAAGAAGCCAAGGTTGGGGTAACGACAACGAGGGAGAGATGTTCAGGGTGTGCACTGTCAACATGAATGCCTATCGGAACCTGGCCAAGTGCATGAGCGGGTCGGTGCCAGACAGTGACCTGGTCATGATGCAAGAGACTCGGCTTTCGGCTGCACGTACGACGGACGCCGAAACGGAGCTTCGTCGTAGGGGATGGCGGCGAGCAGCAGGAGCACCAGCGGTGCCTTCTGAAGCAGGTGGGCTTGCAACAGGAGGACTTCTCACGTCATCCCGCATGTCTCATGGGTTGGCGCCTACGTTTGGTTCACCACAACAAATTGTTCGCGAAGGTCTAGCTGTTGCGCTTCACCTGGCAGGGTTGTTGCCTGGAGGGGTAGTAGTGGTGAACGTGTACCTGGAGATCGGCGTTGGCGTTAACCCACACAACTACACGTTATTCAAGGACGTGGCGAGAAGGCTGCGAAACTTCGGCAGGCCATATGTGATTGGTGGTGATTTCAGGTGCACGCGCGAAGATGATGGCGAGTGGCGTTCTTCGTTTCTTCCGTGGCAAAACCGCGGGGGCGCTTGCTCCGACGTGTATTCCGTCGATGATGACGATTGACTTCTTCATTGTGTCGCAGGGCCTAGAGGTGTGCAACGTCGAGGTGTTGGAGGGCTCGGCGGCGTGGCCACATCGGCTTGCGATGCTCTCGAGGCGGAGAAGAAGAGGAAGCACCTCAAGCTGGTCGTGTCCCCGAAGGCTTTCCCTCGGTCCCTCGGCATCGGCCGATCGGTTGCAGCAGCGAGGGCCGCGGGCCAGATTGGACCAAGACAGCGGAGCGAGCTCATCAGATGGCGGCCCATCCTGGGCAACACTCAGAGGCGCGGCAGGCCTCCATGGATCAAGCTGAGAATGAGTGGATTGACGTCTACCAGATCAGCGATCGCCACGATAAACACCGCGGTCGAGGACACGAGCCACAAGTTCGACAGGTACGAGACCTTCCAGTTTCAGGTGCTCGCTGGCCTCGTGCGTCTGCAGCGGCTACCTGGCTGTTCAGGGTGGCGAGCGAGCTGCTGGTGGCGCCCGTGCTGGGGCAGCCCGTCGCCCGCCCCCAGGCACCACGAGGCGCGCGCAGGCTGTTGGCCAAGGCGCCCAAGTTCGCCCAGGGGAAGCCCCCGGGCAGCGAGGCCCCGCCTTGCTCGCGCCCAGAGGCTTCCCCTGTGGCGAGCCTGTGGCGGCGCGCGCTCAACAGCTTGCGCTTCTGCGCTGTGGACGCGGATAATCTTGCGACTCTGGAATCTGGCGCCGAGCGGGCGGCCGCAGAGATCGCGGACTTCGGCGTGGCCGAGCGCGGCGAGGAGTCCGAGGGCTGGGTCGAGAAGCAGTCGTTGGGCAGAGGTGGGGGCCTTCACGCCCCCACCAACGCCCCCACTGGCTTCGACCCCGGCGGAGCCTGGCGTGGGCGACCAGCTCTACACGCCGACGGACCAGGCGGGCGAGGTCAGCGCGCTCGAGATGGAGTGGGGCCGTTGGCGGCGTTGCGGTTTGCATCGGGAGAGAGTCCGATGGCCGGAAAGATCTTGGCGAGCGACCGCCGAAGCTTGCCCTCGGCGAGTTGAAGAAAGCGCTCAAGATCGACCTCTCCTGTGCAGACGGGCGCGTTCTTCGACGCCATCAGCCCGAGGCAGTTCCTCTTGCTGAGCGACGCTGGTTCTGATATGTTGGCCGATCTCATTTCTGCGATCGAGCGTGAAGCGGAATGGCCCAAGCTGGTCACTAAGAGTTGTTTTTGTTTCTTTTTTTCAGAAGTTTTAGGCGGCGCCCGACACATTCCCTTGATCAGGGCGATCCCGAGGATGCAAGCCAGATTGCGAATAGATGTTTCTCGCGCCTGGGAAGCCAAGGATGGTCGACCTTATTGGCGGGCAGCTCGTGGCATGCATTGCGAAAGAGCAGTCTGGCACCAGGTGGCCATGAGCGAGTGGGCGACGCAGAAAAGGAGTTGATTGTGGAGATCCGTCGGGCTGGGTGGCGCTGGCAGTTCTCTTGGACCTTTTGAAAGCCTGCGAGCAGATGCGCCATCATTGGTTAGTGGAAGCAGCGTCGGAGACTGGCTATCCTTTGTGGCAACTGAAACTTTCTCTCGGGTTGCATTGCTCGCCTCGGATTCTTACCTTGGGAAGTGCGGCTTCTGATGCGGCGCGTTCGCAGCAGTCAGTGCCCCCAGGAGATGACAACGCGACTACGATGCTCAAGGTGATGTTGGCCAGGCTGCTCGATAGGTTGATGCAGTGCCACTCGACTTTGCGGCTGGCAGCGGTGGTGGGCGCTTTGATGTTGCACCGAGTGGGTGGTTTGATACGAGTCGCCCGAGATGTGGCAGACGCAGCTATTCGTTCACAAGCGTTGTTGGAAGCAGTGGGTCTGAAGGTGGCAGCCTCCAAGTCCGGGGCCCTGGCCAACGCCCCAGAAGCCAGGCACGTCGTCGAGGAGAAGCTGAGAAGGCCGATGGGCATGCAGTCGGTGGCCGCGGAGAGAAACCTCGGGGTAGACTTCGCGCGTGGACGCGGAGTGCCTCGATCCGTTCGTCGTGACAAACTGGCAGCAGCGGGACTTCGGCAATGGCGTGTTTTCTTGCTCAAAGGAGGTAAAGGCAGACGGCGAGCAGTTCGCAACGTTGCTCGCAGTGGCTTGGGGGCCTCGGTCAGCTACGGCTTCAACGTGACAGGTTGCGCTTCAGAGGAGCCGAACAAGGTCCGAAGCTTGGTCTTCGCCGCAGTGGCGCCGACGACTCTAGGACGATCTCGATCCTTGGCCTTGGTGCTGACCACGGCCTTGGACCCGATGGTCAATGCTGCGTGCCCAGCCCTGACTCTGCTGAGGGCGGTCTTAGAGCAGTGGCTACCGCAGCACATCGTGGAGTACTGCCTGGGCAACTGCCAAGCAGCGTTGTGGAGCCAAGTCAAGGGCCCTTTTTCAGCAGCGCACATGACGTTCACACGTGTCGGTTGGACCATCCTCAAGACGAGTCTGGCAAACGCATGAAGGGGTTCAGGTGCAGGCGTTTGAGATCCCCCCTTGGGTTGTCAAGCGATTGTTTTGGAGAGTGATTGAAGCATGGCAACGGAAACAAGTTGGCAAGCAAGATGGGTTACAACATCTCGCCGCTGGAGGTGTTCCCGAACCACTTGTACGACTGACGGGCAAGGGCACCGTCAAGTTGAATGGCTTCTTCGGCAAGCAAGGCGTGCCCACGGTGGCTGTCAAGAAGGCCCGAGTGCGTGCTGTTCGCGCAGCTGCGGTACCAGTTCCTACGCCGGTGGATCCCCCTGCGGTTCGTCAGGAAGTAGTTGTGGCAGCAGCTCCAGTTCCCCGTGCAGGCCGTGTTCAAGATGAAGGTGCCATGGCACCTCCTATTGCAGGACTGGGGCCAGGGTACCAAGAGCCAGTTCGGCGTCAGCTACCTCGTTGGGCGATACTCGACAAGCTGAAGGCGCAGGTTGATCATATTTGTTCAGCAGCTTATTTCGAGAAGTTTGCAGCTGTGGAGGGGAGGTGCAAGAAGGCTCCCCCCAGGTGACGATGGTCCGAGTGGAGTGCCTGGTGCTCTGCACTTCGTTGGTCTGGCAAGCGTGGCAGAAGGTGGCGAGTTAACGGCGCGGGCTGGGCGCCAGGACGCTGCGCCGCCACGAAAGGACACTGGCCTGTCTGAGTTTCAGTCGCATGGATTGCTCAGGCAGGCCCCGTCCGATTGCCAGATGCAGCTCGGAAATCGCAGCCTTGCTGAGACCAACAAGGTCGTTCTGAAGGCGATCAGGCTGACGGCGAAGGAGAAGGGCTACCTGGAATCCTTGGTGCAAGGAGGACAGTGGTCTCAAAGCCGTAAGTATGACTGTGGATTTACAGCAGATCCGTTGTGCTTCAAGTGCGGTAAGTTGGGGACCCTGCTACATCGGCATTGTGAATGTGAATGTTGGCCC